CGGGGGAACCATGTGGGCCAGTCGGGGGAACCATGTGGGCCAGTCGGGGGAACCATGTGGGCCAGTCGGGGGAACCATGTGGGCCAGTCAGGGGAACCAGGTGGTTCTTATCCACTGGTTCTTCTGAGCATTGATGTCTGTTCTGTTTCAGATCCGGAGAATCATCGGAGACTTTGGCGTTCCCATTGCCATCCTCATCATGGTTCTTGTGGACTACAGCGTGGAGGACACCTACACCCAGGTGAGTGGAGCTGGTCATCATCCCTGGTTCTGAGGCCGGTTCTCCTGCTGATCCGCCTTGTACCTGCTGGTCCCCAGAAACTCAACGTTCCCAGTGGGTTCTCGGTGTCCAGTCCAGAGAAGCGGGGCTGGATCATCTCTCCACTCGGTTCTGACGGACAGTTCCCAGTTTGGATGATGGGAGCCAGCATCCTGCCGGCGGTTCTGGTCTTCATCCTCCTCTTCATGGAGTCCCAGATCACAGCGTACAGAACTTCCCTTCCCTCAGATAAACACGGTGCCAGTACCTGAACCAAAACCAACAGCCCCAGTAAAGGTTCTGACCCAAAACTACTGTCCATTTAAAACCTGCCTTTAAACCAGTTTTAGAACTGATCAATCTGGACCGGGACGGTTCTTTGCAGTACTGTGGTTCTGTCAGATTTGGATCTAAATCCAGGTCTTGATTTTACTCTGAAATTTTACTCCTGGTCTCTTTAAGGAAAAGCAGCTTCTGTTCTAAGTCTGGACTCTTGGTTGTGACACTTGGACTCGGTCTTTTTGAGTTGACTTGGGTCTTAACTGGGTTCTGGACTCTTGGTTTTGGTCTGGGGGTGAGTGGAGGTCTTTTACGGATGTTCTTCTGTTTTGGTTCTTTCTGCCTTCAGGCTGATCGTCAGTAAAAAGGAGCGGATGCTGGTGAAGGGAACCGGCTTCCATCTGGACCTGCTGATCATTGTGGTGGTGGGCGGAGTCTCTGCCCTCTTTGGTCTGCCATGGTTGTCCGCCGCCACGGTTCGCTCTGTCACCCACACAAACGCCCTGACTGTCATGAGCAAATCCGTTGACCCTGGAGACAAGCCTCGGGTGCAGGAGGTCAAGGAGCAGAGGGTGACTGGGTTTTTGGTGGCGGTTTTAGTGGGTAAGGCGGTGTCCGGGTGCCGGCCGTTGGGTCGCCTACGGCGTGCTGTAAATTCCTAACAGGTCTCTGCTCCGTCAGGTCTGTCCATCGTTATCGGGGACGTTCTACGCCAGATCCCGCTGGCGGTTCTGTTCGGTATCTTCCTCTACATGGGGGTGATGTCCCTGAATGGGATCCAGCTGACGGAGCGACTCATCCTGCTGCTGATGCCACCAAAGTACCACCCGGACCACAGCTACGTGCGGAAGGTATGACCCGGTCTCAGCGAGTCTGGGTCTCTGCTCATTCTGGAACTGAGCCGTTTCTCTCCCTCTACCAGGTGAAGACTCTGAGGATGCACCTGTTCACCCTGGTCCAGCTGATCTGCCTGTCTCTGCTGTGGGTTGTCATGGCAACGGCAGCGGCGCTGGCTTTCCCCTTCATGCTGCTGCTGACCATCCCCCTGAGGATGCTGCTGCTCCCCCGCCTCTTCAGCCCCAGGGAGCTACTGAGTGTGAGTACCCCCCCCCCCACCCCCTCCCCACCCACGGCCCTCTATGGACCGGTACCGCCCTCTGACCTCTGACCTCTGACCCACAGCTGGATGCTGAGGATGCAGAGCCCCACCTGGAGGAGAAGGAGGGTCAGGACGAGTACTCTCACCTGCAGATGCCTGTATGAGCAGCTGCTGAGTGAACTGGATCAGAACCAGACCATCTGGACCTCATAAAGGCTGCTTCTAAACGCTTTCATCTGGTTAATGCTCCTGTAATATTTCTCTGTAAAGATCCAAAATGACCAGAACCTTCAGCTCTGAGTAAAACTGACTCCATCATAAACGTCTCTGTCTTTATTTGGACTCATGTTGCTCCAGAATCTGCATTTTAATAATAATCCAGGTTCTTCTCCAGATGAACCGGGTCGAGTGGTTTCTCACCGCCTCTTACCGCAGAGACACTCACATTTGGACTTTAAACCTGACTCCCACTGGGTTCTAGCTCAAACCATTCAGGGTTGTGACCTCTGACCCTGCACAGAGATCCTTTGGTTGGACAGGATTTCTGTCTCCAGTTGAAGGTGACTGGTTACCGATGGCTCCCGCCTTCGCAGAGTGATGCCTCTGGATCACATAAAGGCTAAAGGGCTGGTTATCGTCCCGCAGCAGAGTGTCACAGTTAGCATGTCGAAGGTATGATGCAGATATTTTTGATTTCTGCCCAATATTGAAGCGTGGTCTGCGCTCTGTTATTCCACGCCACAACACCAGAGGGCCAATCAGGAACTAGCTAGGATTGTGGGCGTCCGTGTGTCAGTTTGACGAACTTGTTCAGCGTCTACAACCCCTCATCCAACGTCGGACGACACACAGTTCCCCCGTGAGTGTTCCCCAAAGACCGGCCATGGCGCTGTGTGTTTTGGCTTTGGGTGCAAACCAGCAGACCGTCGATCAGAGCTACAAACTAGCGTCCCGCACGGTGTCTGGGATAGAGTCTGAGGTGAGCCAGTTGGTGTGGACGGAGCTACAGCCAGAGTTTCTGCCATTAGGGACCAAACAGGAAACAGTGTAGAGCGGAATGAGAACTGACCAATCAGAGGCCTCCTGTCTCTGGCGCTGTCTGCGATCACCTACAGTTTTGGAGAGGTGCAGCAGAGTGTCTGTGGAAGGATAGTGGGCTTACCTTCGTTAGCTGAGATGCTTAAAGCAGCCTTTAGAGTGTAAAACCTCATTAATAATGTTCATTATTAATGAGGTTTTATTACAGATAACCTTTATTTTAACCTATAATTTAGTTTGTTGCAATGATTTTACAGTTTGAAGAAATAGAAAATGACACCACATGCCAACCGTCTCCAGGATGAGCATGACAAGGAAGGGCTGTATATACTGCATGCATCATCTAGGTAGTAAACAATGGATTACTGCTTGAGAGTTCTTTACTGTCACAGGTAGGAGCTTCAGTCTTCAGGCCGGGATGATTTAAACACGCTGAAATTAGGACCGGTATCACAGATTACCAGTCTGGACTGATGGAGGCCTTACCCCGAAATCCCACATCCTCCGTCACTGCCCCGCTCATGTACGTCATGCGGAGTGCTTGTCTGTCATGTTAATCAATGACAACTGTTCCACATCCACCACTACTCCTCCCCACGTCTCCCTCAGGTCACCAACCAGGAAGCAGATTTCTCATTAAAATATCTATTTTATAACGAGGGACTTAAAATTTAATTAAACCAAGTCAGAAGATACTTCTTATTGCAGGAATGGATGAAGAGATGCTGAGTTTGGGAGTAGAGAACAAACAAAGTTCATTAAAAAAAGCACAAAAATCTACAACAGAATATTTGGGCAGAAACTGAACATCTGCTGGATGATGGTGGGATTTTTTTAATATGTCAGATTAAATTAAACATTCACAGGGTTTATTCAGGAATGAGTGACTCTATTTTAATGCTATTAGAAATGATTTTAATGCCATCAACAAGAACCATGAACACAAGTTATTACATGAAATATGAAGGAGCTGTAAGCACAGTTCCATGACTCCTGTATGTATGTAAACACACACACACACACACACACACACACACACACACTTTTTTATAGCAGGCCAGCTTGAGCTGTATCTGCAGCTGTGAAATGTTGTTTATAAATGAAAGAGGAATTATAAACGTTGTATAAACACAC